CCGTCACGCCAGACCTCAAGCGCCCGGCGCCCGAGGCGGGCCACGGTGCTCTGCCTAAGTGACTGAGATCCGACGCTGCGAAACAGCGGCAGCACCGCGGAACATCACGACCAGAGCCCTGCACCCTATCTCCCTTTGGGGCTCAAGAGGCGAGGGCCAGTGCAAACGGGGGTCCGCCAGAGCGCTGGCTCTTGCAGGATCTTGCGGAGCCAGGGTCGCATTGACCGGGGCTTGGGTGCAAGGCCTAGTCCTGCAGGATCCTGCAGGATCTTGCAGGATCCTGCCAGGCTTAAGTCGGGCCTGTCCCCCTGTAGGCCTGACTGACCCGGGTCTGGATTGACCGGGGTCAGAAGACCCAGGAGGGGACAAAACACACACAGACACAATGAATCGTCGATCCCCCCGAAAATATGGGAAAAGATGGGAAGTGTGGGGGGGAAGACAAAAACTTAGAAAATATTGGGAAATATGGGGAACCTTTTTATTTATGTGTACAGTCGGGGCGCTGAAGAAGGAACCCTTTTAATTGGGAAGGGGCTCCGTGTTCCTTAATTGTTTCACAGCTTGCCCCACGTTGTCCTTAGGTTTTCGGAGGGAAATCGAAGTTCAACTTCGGGAGAAAAGGGACCTCGTTCCTTATTGAGGGTTCCTTAGGTCAACGCCCCGACTGTATTTATTTGTGTGTCCTGGCGCCCCTTCAAAGATCCCCGATGTCTGCGGCGTGCCTCGCGCCGGATCGACCCGGGGTGGCCCCACGGGGCCCGATCGGCCGGGCGAGCACGCCCAGCGCGAAGAGACGCTGCCACGCCTGGACCTCAGGGTGCGCTCCTCCTCCTCCTCCTCCTCCTCCTCCTCCTCCTCCTCCTCCTCCTCCTCCTCCTCCTCCTCCTCCTCCTCCTCCCTCCTCCTCCGCAGCCTCCTCCTCCTCTCCTCCTCCTCCTTCTCCTCCTCCTCCTCCCTCCCTCCCTCATCCTCCTCCCTCTTCCCTCCTCCCTCCTCCCTCCTCCCTCGACAACCCAGAGATCCGGCTCTCCAATCTTTTCGATGCATGGGCCCGAGGTCGGACGTTGCCAGAAGTGCCCCTGGCCCAGGGTGCCCCCCCAGGACTTCCAAAGGGGCCCCCACGGCCTCCAGAGCACCCCGTGCGAGGCCCAGAGGGCCCCAGGGGCTCCAGAATGGAGCGAAAAGCTGGGGGGGGCACCTGGGGTCAGGGGCACCCTCAGCGACCCCCGACCAGGTGGTTTGGCTCACTTCTCCTGGGCCAGATTCTCGTCCCGAGTTGTTTTTTGGCGGCCCTAGGTCCCGTAAAAGGCCCCTGGAGGCAGGACGACAGAAAGCCGGGCGCTCCAGTTCTTGTCGGAGCCTCGGATCTCTGGGGTGCTGCTCTTTGTCCGGAGCGAGCGCCTGACGATGAAAGCTGCCAGTCTCCCAACTGATGGGAAGGGGACTACACCATGCAAGCACATGACGAGAAAGGAACAGGAGGATGAGGAGGATGATGAGGATGATGATGAGGAGGAGAAGGAGGAAAAGGAAGTGGAAGACCATGAGGAGGAGGAGGAGACGGAGGAAGAGGAGGAGGAGGAGGAATAGGAGGTGGAGGAGGAGAAGGAGGAGGGGGAAGAGGCGGAGGAGGAAGAAGAGGAGGAGGAGGAGGAGGACGAGGATAAAGGATGAGGATGAGGATGAGGATGAGGATGGGGATGAGATTGATGATACTGATGATGATGATGATGATGATGATGATGATGATGATGATGATGATGATGATGATGATGATGATGATGATGATGATGATGATGAATGATGATGATGCTGTGATGATGATGTACATGGTGATCTGATACGTGATGATGATGATGATTATGATGATGATGATGATGATGCTGATGATGGGGCTGATGCTGGCTGCTGATGAGGATTAGGGAGGAGGCGGAGTGAGGAGGGGGAGGAGGAGGAGGGGACGGAGGAGGAGGAGGGGAGGGAGGGGCGAGGAGGAGGCGGAGGAGGAGGAGAAGGAGGAGGAGGAGGAGGAGAGTGAGGAGGAGGCGTGTAGGAAGGAGGAGGGGGGGAGGAGGAGGAGGAGGAGGAGGGCCGGCAAAGCAGAGATCGGGATGAGGAGCAAGGGGAGGAGGAGAGATGCGGTGGAGGAGGGGAGGAGAGGAGGAGGAGGAGAGGAGAGGAGGAGGAGGCTAGGAGGAGGAGGAGGAGTAGGAGGATGAAGAGGAGAGCAGACAGGGGCGGAGGAGGAGGAGGGGAGGAGGAGGAGGAGGAGGAGGATGAGGGAGGAGAGGAGGGGAGGAGGAGGAGCAAAGCGGCATTGCTGCTGCTGGTGCAGATCGCGGGGCCCACCTCGGCGCGCACGGGCGGCTCGGTGGCCGCTGCTTGCTTCGGCCGCCTCGGGGACACGCCAGCGGACTGCGAGCCGCAGGTAGCGGAGGCCCTGAAGAAGGCCTTCAACGTGACGCAGGATCTCCTCCTCCTCCTCCTCCTCCTCCTCCTCTTCCTCCTTCTCCTGCACCTCCTCCTCCTCCTGCTCCTGCTCCTCCTCCTCCTCCTCCTCCTCCTTCTGCTCCTGCTCCTCCTCCTCTGGAGTTCAGGTCACCTCCGGGCGCTAACGCATGATCCGCCTCACTTTGCGCGCGGAACCGCGCCGCTCTCGTCACAATTTCCCGCGTCACGCCAGACTCGCCGTTCCTTCCCAGCATGCCGCCTGCCAAGAAGCCTCGAGGGGATGACTCTGACGACGAGGCCAGCGGGATCCTTACAGTTCCCAACGAGGTCAACGCCGTCTCCACTCGTATCTCCTTCGTCGAGTCCAGTGTTGCCACGCTCGCCGGGGTGAAGTATATGATCCAGGAACACGACATGCGCTTCGAGGCACCCGAGAAGAGGATCAGAAACTGTTCGACGTCGCCATCGATGCCTAGTGGGAGAGGTCTACCGTCGCCTCATCAGGTTCTGACGCTTCTGCGGACCACCGACACCACGAAAGGTTGGATTGGAGGTTTCAATCATCTCATGTTCAGCGCTGCCATGGTCGAGCACGCCAAGACCGTGTTGGCAGCCCTCCCGCAAGCCATGTCCGCGTCTGCCACCTATAAGTGTCATACTTTCAACCAGAGCTACTCCATGAAGTTTCAGTCCGAATCAGCGGCCCGCGACTTGCTCGGGTATGCCAGGGCCAGGGGACTGCACTACGACGACTCAGAGACCAAGAAGCGTCTGCGTCGGCGTTGACGACTGGACGCCCCGCCAACCGCACTCGCCAAGAACGAATTCCTTGGCAGCTTGTGGCAGCCAATTTCGGACCGCATGACGCAGGTTCAGATGCGGGATCCGGCCAAGTACCAATTCGGATCCAACGGATACTGGGACTGCCTGTATTTCGCCAGCACGGAAAATCAAGAGATCAAGCTCTTGTTCAAGATCGTTCAAATCTGTTCAAATCCAACGAGACTTCCGACGTGGAGGTCGACTTCGACGGTCTCACCACTTACAGGGTCACGCGCCCGCAAGCCGAGGAGATGATCGCAGAAACCCATGAAATGCACGCCATATTTGTGAAGGGCGAGCGCCAGTGACATGATCCAGTGCCGGCTGGCAGCTCGAGCAAATTCAACGATGATAGTGGTTTCGACTCCTTGGTAGCCTTGCAGCCGCCCCCTGCTCCGGCTGTGCGCAGTGGCCGTGGCAAGGCCAGTTCAGCCCCTGCCTCTGCCGGACGTTCGAGACCGTCGCGCTTGCCCTCCTGTTCTTCGTCCTGCCCATCCAGCTCTTCTTGTACCAGTTCTACCTCCTGCTCTACTGGGTTCTCAGGATCTAGCAGCGGGTCCACCGTTTTTCCACCGCCTTGGGCACAGTCGGCTCCTCATAAAGCTTCTTATCTCGTTCGTCGCAATTTCAGTCCAGTGACGTGGAGCAGCCACACTTTGTTCGCATCAGTCCACACCCCTGCCTGAGCAGTTAGAAGACGAACCAAACGCTAGCCAAGCTTTTTTGACACATGACATTAGTCGTGCCCAAGAAGCCTACGGGCGGGAAGAGGACTTCCTTTCTCTTCGTCAAGAAGTTTATGGACTGCGAGGCTGGGTCTCTTTCATGGTATCCAGTGCTGCAGGCGGTGTTCTCGTGCAAGCGGATCCAAAACTTTTCAAGTTTTTAAGCAACGAGCCCCAAGACCTTATCCTTGGCCGTCTCCGGGGAGTGGGTGTCTAAGGACCCAATTCAACCGTGCAGGCTCCCAACCTCCACCTCGACCCTCTGCTCTCCATCGCCGATCTGAAGCTTGAGCTCAGGCGGGTGACATCCCGTCTCCGACCCGCACCCCTGGCCTTCCTGCTTCGTGCTCGGCGGTTCCACTTTCCCACTGGCCGGCGAGCCCCGGCAGCCGCATGACGGTGCGACCAGTGCCCGTACACACGGACTAGGGAGGTTCTTCAAACGTGTGGTCGTCAGGAGGGAAAGAAACACACAGGCACAATGAATCGTCGATCCCCCAGAAGATATGGAAAATATGGGAAGTGGGAGGGTAAGACAGAACCCCCGAAAATATGGGGAAATATGGGGAATCTGGTTCTTTGTGTCTATTTATTTGTGTGTCCCAATTCCCCTTCAGTTCGAGAGCTCGTAGGCGTGGCCCAGGCGTTTCCGACGCACCGTGCCACCATGGAGGAGGGCTGGGGGGTTTCATCGCTTGGACGTATCGATCGCATCTGCACTAACATGTTCACAGGGGTGGGCAGAACCCCCAACAGTGACACGTCGACTAGTGAATTGTCTGTTTTCGGTTTTCGAGAGGGCGCCGTGGCCGTTATTTTCCAGGTTTGGGCCTCAGGTCGTTTTCACTAAACCACGTTTTGCTAAAGGGGGGTCTGTCCATCCCCGAATGTTCACAGGGCCCCTCCTGACCTCAAACCGAACTCCCTGGTCTTGCACTACGTTCTGGACTGTGACTGTCCCTTGGGCCAGATTATTGTGGCGTTGGCGCTATCCGCTTGCCAGGAGTTCGATGGGCCCGTCAGGATTCGTTCACGGGCCTCCAAACGCCCCGACTTTGGAGACTGCGTGTGGGCCATCTCGTTTGAAATGACAGGTCTTCATCGTGACCCCGTGCGTGCGCTCGCCGCGCGTAGAGACCTGACCCGCGCAGCTGCCACCCGTCTTCCGTCGCGTCTCGAGCGCTGGCGGGCCAGAGCCGTTGCTGAGAGTTTATCCTGGGCCGTCTCGGCCGTGCGAGCAGCCTGCTCCGACGCGCTCTCAACATGTGCCCCAGGCTCTGTGACTTCGTGGTTTTCCCCGCGGGGCCTCCTCCTCCTCCTCCTCCTCCTCCTCCTCCTCCTCCTCCTCCTCCTCCTCTCTCCCCTTCCCCTCTCCTCCTCCCTCCCTCCTCCTCCTCCTCCTCCTCCTCCTCCTCCTCCTCCTCCTCCTCCTCCTCCTCCTCCTCCTCCTCCCTCTCCTCCTCCCTCTCCTCCTCCCTCTCCTCCTCCCTCTCCTCCTCTCTCTGGACCGACGAACTCTCCCTGCGGAATCTCAAACGGATGATGGGCGATGATGGGAACGGGGGTGCCCCTCCCCGCTTGGAAGCGGAAGCCCAATCTCGTCTGCCGGCCTAGAAGTCTGCTTGGGGCGTCATTCTGCAGGGCGTCGCGGACCCGACGGGCCGACGCGTCGCTGGCCCAGGGGAGGTCGCCACCGAGCATGCCAAGCACTTGGGGACCGTCCGCAGCGGGGGCTTCTAGCGCCCGAAAGTTCGCGGCGTCACTGTCCCTTCATCCAACCGTGCCCCCCCGCGGTCCTCTGGAAAATCGAGTTCGGGGAGTTTGCGGAGTTGTTTCGTCGTTGTCGGGACAGCCCTCTTGGGCCCGACGGGGTTCCTCGTTATGCCTGGGCAAGCGCAGGGGGCCAGGTGCGGGGGTCTTTGTCTACGAGGGCATCCTTGCTGGACAGTGTCCCGTCGATGCCTTTAACTTTGCCACTTGCGTCTTCCTCGCGAAGAGATCTTCGGCCAGAGGCAGTGCTTAAGGGGCGTTCAGAGCCCCAGCCCCTCCTCGACCGATCTAGCTTTCCAGCGCCGATAGCGGATTCGTCGGCCTCTCCCTCATCGCGTTGACTTGTCAGATGACAGTTGTCGATGCCCAGCGGGGTTTCGTTCGGGGCCGATCTGTGCAAAACAGCATCCTCGTGCCGGAAGCTCGCGTTCTCTCCTGGTCCGTCCAGCTTGGAGGGGTGCGATCAGGGGCCTGCTGTTTTAGCGTGCGCGCCGCCGTCCCGAGTCTGCCCGGTCAGTTTATGTATCTGGTTCGTGCTTTCCGCCATGTCTTTTTCACGTTTTCTTCCTGGGGGTGGTTCGGATGTTGCGTCGGATGTTTTGGATCAGCGTTGATGTCGCGAGTCCTCGGGTATCGGGTTTCTGGCTCCATAGCGGCATCGAGCAAGGGTGCCCAACGTCAGGTAGTGTTTGCGTGCTGGCCTTCCATCCCATCGTTCGGTATTTGCTACCTCAGATCCCGCGGCGCCTCGTGGTCGTTGCTGCCTGGGCCGGCGACATCGGCGCGGGCGCGCGCGGCTTGCGTCGGGCCGGTCGATCCGTGTTGCCAGCGTGGATCGTCGCAGGATGGGCTAGGCTTATTTCTCGACGTTGAGAAGGCCGCCATCTGTCTGCCATGCCACCCTTCTCAGGAGTAGTTCTGCCAGGAGTTTTGCGATTCGGACCAGTGAGTTCCAGCTCGTTCGGTGCGTTGCGCATCTGGGGGTGTGCCTGAGGCCTGGTGGGAGTGGCCTGGCCTGGAAGGATGTGGGTCAGACGTGTCTCGGGAGGTTCATCGACCTGGAGCGCCTGCATCTCGTGCCTATCCGCGCAGCAATGAGATGCAATACCTTCTGTTTCAGTGCCCTCGGCCACGGGGTGCAGTGCCGCTCCCCCGCTCCCGAGACTTACCGACTTGAAGGAGAATCCTTCCAGTCCGTCGCCGTCGTCCCAAGGAGCGCCATCTCGTGCGCCCTCTTGAAGGATCTCAAGGACTTTAGACTCCCTGTGCAGGCCATGCAGCTCGCGTGCTTGGCGCGGGCAACCCAGTATCGTTATGCGTTACACTGCGAGGTCTTCCGCGTGTTGCGCTCGTTCCTTGACGAGGTCGGTCACCGAGACGAAGCGCTGATCGCGTGCGCGCGGGGAAAATGTTGGCAGAACAGTTGTTTTTCTCAGATGCGTCGAACATATCAATGCCCGCCCTCCCCGACGGTCCCTAGCTCCTCCCGCCGCTCCAGAAGCGTTTCGATCGCTTAGGGGGTGAACAAATTGTCTGACCGCGGTGAGCTCGCCGAGCGTCTTCAGTACTTCCACCCTGCCCTCTATGAGTCCGAGCTCGATGTTGTAATCATGCGTATCCGTATGCTGTTCCATGTTCCCCAGTTTTCTCGCGGTTTTTGTAACCAAAGTGATCGCGAACAGTTGGTGCGCCACTAAGCGTTTCAGGGAACACGCCGAACCTGGTCTTTTGTACAAATTTGCTGATGCAGGACATGACATACTACATTATTATGCTTGCCCAGGCCTGGATATGATATTGGCTCGCTTCCCCTCCCTTCCCCCGTCGTTCACCTGTGCCTCGGCTGTCGGTCGCCTTGGGCTTTTCGGCTTCGGCCCGCTATCCGCTGCTCAGCTCATTTCTATCGCCTGTCTGCACGATACCATGTGCTCAGCTTACCATGCCTGCAAAGGAGGCTGATAGGGGCGGGCGGCCTCATTGCTTTCACACGCTTCGCCCAAGCCCGAATCAGGCAGATAGCCAGAAGGGCTCCTGCAGTCAGGGCGGTCCTCAGGGGACGGACGGACTCGAGGCAGCTGCGCTTTTCCTCCTCTTCCTCTTCTGCCTCTCCCTTCTCCCCCTCCTCCTCCTCCTCCTCCTCCTCCTCCTCCTCCTCCTCCTCCGTTCCTCTTCTACATGACCCCTCTCTGTCGCGCCCCGAGGCGTGTCGGTAGGGCGGGCAACGCCAAACGACTAGTGATCTTTAAGCTGGGATTGTGGTAAGGGCTTCACGGATGGAGGACCGGCCGATTTCAAATTGTGGTAATCGTTATCGTGCCGCGCGCATTCGTATTGCTTGAAGCGGGAAAGATCTTCGCAGATTGAGGACAGGTCGTTTTCAAAATGTGGCTCTCGCCTCAGCGCCGCGCGCATTCGCTTTAAAACATTGCACGAGCTTTGCGGATGGAGGGCGGGTGGTTTTCAACATGTGGCTCTCGCCTTAGCGCCGCTCACCTACATTCTGAGCATTCGGACAATTCTCACGGCTGGAATGCGGGTGGTTCTCAAAATGTGGTTCTCGCCTTATCGCCGCGCACTCTGGTCCTACAAACATTGCAACATCTTCGCGGATGGAGGGCGATTTTTTTTCAAAATGTGGTTCGCGCGTTTGCGCCGCGCACTTCGGTTCTAAGAGTTTACAGCAAATTCAAGGATGCTGAGGGTTAACGTCCCAAAAGCGGCGTTTTGGCACGATGTCGGACGGTCAGGGTGCAACGCTTACGTTGGTTCGCGGTGTCCAAGTCCCAAGAATGGATTTTTGGCACGATTCAGGGTTGTCAAGACGCAACAGTAAGTTTGATTGGTGGCTTTGACGTCCCAGGAATGGTGTTCGGGCACAGCTCAGGATTTTCACACGGTTGGCTTCCAACGGGGCACTTCCTGTAGTGAACATTCAACGTTGTAGGGGCCTGTGAAGAGGGAATCTGGAGAGAGGGTTTATCGCAGTATCGTTGATGAGTCTGAGGTTTACATTGGTCTTCTTCCTCCTCCTCCTCCTCCTCCTTCTCTTCCTCCCCCTCCTCCTCCTCCTCCCTCTCCTCCTCCTCCTCCTCCTCCTCTCCGCTTTCCTCTCCGTTCCTCCTCCTCCTCCTCCTCTCCTCTCCTCCTCCTCCTCCTCCTCCTCCTCCTCATCATCATCATCATCATCATCATCATCATCATCATCATCATCATCATCATCATCATCATCATCATCATCATCATCATCATCCTTCTCGTCTTCCTCCCGCTTTTCCTCCTGTTGCTCCTTTTTCGCCCTGTGCTTGCATGGTGGGGTCGCAGGCGTTTGCTTGCGCGTTCGTGGCCTCTTGGGGCCTCTTGGGGGCCGTTTCGGGACCTTTTAAAGCTTCTTTTTGGGCCTCCTGGGGCCTCCAGGGGGCCTCATGGGCTCTCTCTTGTGGGCCTCTTGGGGCCTCCTGGGGGTTCTTGGGGCTGAAGGCTCGAATTGGTAGTTCGTGTTCCCCCTCTTGGGCCCCTCTTGGGGCCCTCTTGGGCGATCTTGGGCGCCTCTGGGGCCGTTTTGGGGTTGTCTTGGACCGTCTGGGGGCCCTCTTGGGGGCCTCTCGGGCTGTCTTGGGGCGGTCTTGAGGGCCTCTGGGGCCATCTTGGGGCCTTCAGGGGACCTTTCTGCGCCTAGAGCTCGAAACGTCCGTTCGGGTTCCCCGTCTGGGCCCGCTCCTGGAGCCGTCTTGGGAGCCTCTTCGGCCATCTTGGAGGCCTCTGGGGCTGTCTTGGGGCCCTCTGGGACCGTTTTTGGCGCTCTCGGAGGCCTCTTGGGCTCTGTTGGGGTGATCCTGGAAGCCTTTTGGGCCGTCTTGGAGCGCCGGTAAACCGAAAAGGTGAGAACGCCAAATACCTTCAAACATTGACGGGTCTCTGTGGGCCCTCTTGGGAGGTCTCTTGGAGGCTTCTTGGGGCGTCTTGAAGGCGCTTTGGGCTGTTTGGAGGCCATCTTTGGCGTCTTGGATCGCTCCTGGACAGTCTCGGAACATGTTGAGCTCTCTTGGAGGCCACTGGAAGCGCTCCTGGAGCGCTCTTGGGAGCCTGCTGGGACCTGGCCGGGACCTCGCCAGGACCTGCCTGGGACCTTGCCAAGACTCTGCACGCACGAAATGGGTACTGAAAGAATGGGTACAATGCCCAACAGCAGTTCCTGTTCATTTTGAACAGGGCTCGCTGTCCGCGCCGCCGCGGCCTGTGTCCATTTGAGACAGGAGGCCGCCTGCCCAACAGCGGCCGCTGTCGTTTTGGGACAACATCTGCTGTTGGGCATTGTACCCATTCTTGCCGTGCGCATTTCGGGCGTCCTGCCCGGGACCTGCCCGGGACCTTGCCGGGATGCTGTTCGTCCAGGGACCCCCGAGGCGCGGCCCCGCGCGCGCGAGCTAGAAGTGCTGTTAACCAGTCGCCGGGGAGCTTGGCACGCCCTTGGCCCGTTGGGCCGGCGGATTATTGGCTGCTGGGGGCCCTTACCATGATAATATATTCCGCTCTATTTGATAGGCTTTCTAAACCGACTGCTCCGATCTATTTACACCTCTACGATCTAAATAGACATGTCTAGGTTTTTTGTTCACACTGGGCCCGTTATAACGGGCCCTGGGGCCGTCAACAAATAGACGCAGGATGAAAAACCGGCCCTGGGGAAGGTCCAGAGCTCCGGGGACTCCGCATGTAACACGTCAAGACAAAGGAGATCTGGGAGCACATGCGTCAACCTAAATTTTCGACTGTCCGCGCGGATTTCTTAGATAGGCGCTGGCCCCCCTGGAGCCCCCGGCGCCGCCCCGGGGGTGGGAATCCAGTGCCCATCCAGGGAACCCGCGAGGACCTCCGACAGTCCACGCGTGCCGTCAGGATCTCTGGCTTGGCGTGCTGCGCCGCGGGTTATGGCTCACCGCGCTTCGGCGCGACACGCTAACCACGGCCTGGCCCCAGAAGGTCAACGTCCCGAGCCTTTCGGAAATTGCCGCCCCGCGGGGCGGAGCGACACGCTATATCCTCTTGCAGGCCAGAGCGTGTCGCCGGGGCCGCCGCTGCGGCACGCTCAGCAGACGATCCCGATCGCGTGCTGTGTTTCTATTCTTCGGTGCCCGCCTCTAAACTTCAGGGGGGGAAAAAACACACAGACACAATTAATCGTCGATTATCCAGGAAATATGGAAAATATGAGAAATTGGGTGGAGACAAAAACCCGGAAAATATGGGAAAGTATGGGGAATATTTTTATTCGTGTGTATTTATTTGTGTGTCCTGGGGCCCCTTCACTACTGCACGTTCTGTGCGCGGCCTCCTCCTCCTTTGTGCCACCACCTCGTGCCGTGCCTCCCACGCCATGCCTCGACTGGCGCCTGCTCGCTTGCGCCCGCGGGCCAAACAAGTCTCGGGGGGGGGGGAGGAGGAGGAGGGGAAGGAAGAGGAGGAAGAGGAGGGGGAGGAGGAGGAGGAGGAGGAGGAGGAGGAGGAGGAGGCGGAGGAGGAGGAGGAGGAGGAGGAGGAGGAGGGGGAGGAGGAGGAGGAGGAGAACGTGGCAGGGCCCCATGGCCAAACAAGACTTTCTCCTTCCGAGGATCTCGTCGGCAGGCGGCTGATCTCCGCCGGTCACGACCGCAGCGACGGGGGCCTGGCCGCCGCGGTGCTCGAGATGGCCTTCGCGGGCAACTGCGGCGTGACCCTCGACGTCTCGGGCGCGGAGGTTCGGCCACGCGCAGAGTGGGGTACAGTCGGCCCGGATTAGTAGGTCGACCCTGCCAAATCAAGGGTACCTTTGTGTCCTGTGTCTCGCGACCCATACCTCCTGCATTCTTATGGCAATGTGGCCCTCGGAAGGGTTTTTGTTCTCTCGCGTGTCCTGTTCAATGAAGTCCGACTCTAATTAGGGGGAGGGGGGAAGGCTACTCAGAAACACCCGCGCCTTCTCAGAAGGCGCGGGCCTCGTCCGTAGATGTAGGGCTGGCGTCTTCTAAGAAGCAGCCTCCTTCTGAGAAGCCTTCCCCCCTTCCCCTACGCCCTTGTGCGCGCCACCAGAAGGTGGCGGGGCAGACTACGCTCGAGGCTCGGAGGAGGGTCAGCCCAGACAACGTAAGACGAGGCCAGGGAGGACAATTTCGGGTAATGATAACTTGGGGTTCTCTGAGATCCCGCGGCTCTGGAGGACATCTCGGGCGCCGCGGTCCTCCCAGAGCGTTCCGGAAACGCTCTGGAACGAGTCTGTCCTGGTCCAGTCCCGTCTGACCAGGAGGAGGAGGAGGAGGAGGAGGAGAGGAGGAGAGAGGAGGAGGAGGAGGAGGAGAGAGGAGGAGGAGGAGGAGGAGGAGGAGGAGGAGGAGGAGGAGGGAGGAGGGAGGAGGGGAAGGGAGGAAGGGAGGAAGGGAGGAAGGGAGGAAGGGAGGAAAGGGAGGAAGGGAGGAAGGAGGAAGGGAGGAAAGGAGGGAGGGAGGGAGGAGGGGGGAGGGAGGAGGAGGGGGAGGAGAGGAGGAGGAAGGAGGAGGAGGAGGAGGAGGAGGAGGAGGAGGAGGAGGAGGAGGAGGAGGAGCAGTGGGATGAGGAGGAGGAGGAGAAGGAGGAGGAGGAAGGAGGAGGAGCACGAGGCGGAGGAGCAGGAGCAGGAGCAGGAGCAGGAGGAGGAGGAGGAGGAGGAGGAGGAGGAGGAGGAGGAGGATAGTTTTTCATCCTCTGGCGCGAGACGGTTGTTTCTTGGGCCAAGGCTATCGGACACGATCGTACGTAGGTGCTGGCGATCGCAGCGCACCCCCGCCCCGATGTGCCACCCTCCCCTCAGGTAAAGACCGTTACCGGTTCCAGGCGGTAGCCGATCTTTAGCGGGTGGCTTCTGGGCCTTGGGGCATGCTGGCTGCTGGCACGGCGCGGTAGCGCCCTGCGCCGCCGCTGCCGCCAACGTCAATGCCGCCGCCACCGCCGCCGCCGTCGTCGTCGTCATCGTCGTCGTCGTCGTCGTCGTCGCCGTCGTCGTCGTCGTCGTCGTCGTCGCCGTCGCCGTCCATCGAGTCATCCGTTGATCGAGGGCCGAGGCTCGAGGACAGAGAGTTCTTGGCTCTGCGGAGGCCCGCTTCCGCCCCCCTACGCTGGGGAGACGCCGCTGTCTCTTTGGGCCCTCCTGCTAGAGGCCCTCTTCCACGAGGAGCTCGGGCTCGTGCTCGAGGTCGCCGCCGCGCAGGCCGACGCCGTCGCGGCCGCCTACACCGCGCAGGGCGTGTCGTGCGTGCGCATCGGGGCGCCCTGTGCGGGGGACAGGGTGAAGATCGTCGGCAAATCTGGGCAGGTGGAGCTGGAGGAGAGGATGACGGTGCTGCGCGACAGGTGGGTCAGATGTTCGTTTGGGGGGGCCTCCCTGGGGCCCGCCGAACGGATCTGTTCGGCTCCAGTCTCTACTTCGTTCGACTCTAGTTCGGCTCGAGGTCTACACAGGTTCGACGCAGGTTCGATACAGGTTCCACAAGATGAGCGTGCTGTGCGACAGGTGCGTTAGATGCTTCGAGGGACGAACAACATCATAAATATAACCTTTTGCAGCTCCGCACGAATTTCTTGGAACAGCGCTGGGCCACCCCTGGTGGCGCCTCCGGCGCCGCGCCTGGCGCGCTCTGCGCGCCAGGTATGGGTGGCCCAGCGCAGATCCAAGAAATCCGTGCGGAGCTCCGAAAGTTTATTTTGATGCAGTGGTTTCGTCCTCTCCTGTTCGTTTTAGGGGACCTTCCTTGGGCCCACCTAACGGATCTGCTAGACTCTAGTTCGGCTTTAGTTCGACTGTCTCTTTTGACTCGCGTTCGACTCAAGGTCGACACAAGCCCAACCCGATTCGACGCGCTTTGGACACGGCATCGGCGCATAAGAAGAGCGCCTGGCTCCAGGAACATCCTCAGAAAGAGCATCCAAGTTCGGATGCAACTCCCGGGAGGTCAGTTCTGACTTTGCCCTTGTCCGAAATCCGGCTTCATCCGGCTTACTCCCGCTCAATCCCGCTTAACCCAGCTTGGGCCCGCTGCATCCGCGGCCTAAGCTGGCGTAGCAGCCCCCCAATGGGGCTGAGTCCTCCCTGGTCTCCCTGATCCTTCCAGCGAAGACCTCGCGGTAGTCGCCTCCTTGGTCTGAGGTGGGAGAGCAGCTCGTTCGCGCTGGAGATGCTGCAGGCCAACCCCGCCTGCGTCGTGCAGGAGCGCGACAGCATGGCGGTGCGCAGCGCCCCCCCGATCCACGCAGCGATCCTCAGCCCCGAGCCCCAGTGGCTGCTCGCGGCCGGGGCGCCCCAGGTCGGCATCGTGCGGGAGGAGGGCAGCAACGGCGACCGCGAGATGGCCGCCGCCTTCCGCCTGGCGGGCTTCGAGTGCTGGGACGTGACGATGACCGACCTGGCCAGCGGCGCCATCCCGAAGAAGAGAGAGCGCCACAAGCAGAAACTGTGGTCGCTCCGCCCGGAGTTCTTGGACCTGCGCTGGACCCCCCTCCCTGGGGCGGCGCCGGAGGCGTCGCCGGGGGGGCCGGCGCAGATCTAAGAAATCCGCGCGGAGCGCCAAACTCAAGCAGTGGCGAAGCGTCCTGGCTCGCCTACAGCCCTGCCAAACAATGTTCTAAGAAGTCGCCGGGGGGGGGGGGCCGGGGACAGATCCAAGCAATCCGCGCGGAGCGCCAACATTTTTGTGTTTATGGCGTTTTTTCTTCTTCTACCATCGGCCTCGAGCACTTCCGCGGCCTCGCCTTCGTCGGCGGCTTCTCCTACGCCGACACGCTGGGCTCCGCCAAGGGCTGGGCGGCCACATGCCGCTTCCAGCCGAGGGTCTCCGCGCAGTTGAGCGCCTTCTACGAGCGGAAGTCGGGAGAGAAAAAGCGGCGGAAACATACTTTTTCGGAGGTCCGGGCGGAGTTCCCAGATCTGCGTTGGCCCCTTGTCCATGGCGCGCCACTCGCGCGAGTGGACGGCGCTGGAGGCGCCACCAAGGGGGGCCAGCGTTGATCCAAGAAATCCGCCCGGAACCCCGCAGTATTATGTTTACCCTGCGATCCGACGCTGAGATGAAAATTGCAACGTCGCGAGAAAGCACGATTGGCCCTCGACCATGTCTCTGCGGTATCCTTAGCTGCTCTGATACGCACGTTTGAAACGTAACGCGTGCCGTGTTCAAAACGCCCGTCTTCAAAACGTACGTGTGCAGTCTACGCGTTGAGCCCGTATCACTACGCTGCGTGTTGCGTGCTGCGTCTCGGGGCAGCTAAGGCGGCATCTTTCGAGCCAGAGCGAACTGTGCTGGGCCCGGGGGCCCGCGACTGGGCGAGAGCGCCTGGCGTGGAAAGGTTGCAGTGCCCAGATCTCAAGGCACGTGGCCGAGCTCCCCCCTGACATCGCCGTCAGTTCTCGGGCCACGCCTTGGCTCCCCGGCGCCCGCTCGGCAGGATCCGGGCACCCCCGCAACGCCCTCGGCTAGGCGCAGCGGCCGCTGGAGCGCATCCCGAGGCTGGAAAGCCGAATAGAAACGGCGAGCACGACAGAACACTTCGAGCCTCGAGCCTCGAGCCTGCTCCTCCTCCTCCTCCTCCTCCTCCTCCTCCTCCTCCCCCTCCTCCGCCTCCTCCTCCTCCTCCTCCACAATTACTCAATATGAATACTACTCTCCTCCTTCCCCTGATGACGGGTTGGGAGTGTTCGCCCCCCCCCCCCCGCGTACTGTTTTTTACACACAGGATTCCCGGAGTTGGGTTTTCGCCTGCATTTTTTTCAAAATGCTGCTCTCGCTGAGGCGCCGGCCTCATTTTCGGGCCCCGCTCGTTCCGAATCGTGCTCCCGCTGCAGCGCTGGCCTCATTTCCGTGCTTCCGCTCGTTCCGAATCGTGCTCCCGCTGCAGCGCTGGCCTCATTTCCGCGCTTCCGCTCGTTCCGAATCGTGCTCCCGCTGCAGCGCTGGCGTCATTTCCCGTGCCATGCCACGGCATGCAATGCAATGCTAGGTTGCGTTCCGCTGCGCGATGCCATGCCTTCAGCTGAAGCTGTGATATGCAGTGCTTAAGTGCCACGTCGTGCTATGCCATGCTACGCTTTGATCTTCAACGCCATGCTATGCAATGTTATGTTCGGGGCCGCTGTGCGATGCCATGCTTTGCGTTGCAAAGCTTTGTGATGCAATTCTTCACTACGCCACGCCACGCCATGCTGTGACATACTACGCTTTGCGGTGCTCTTCTACGCCATGCCATGCCGTGCTCTACAATGCATCGCGTACCCTTTCGGGATCATTGCCCTGCTCGACATCCCACTGTGCGAGTAGAGAGGGGATCTACGCCATGGTAAGGGATGGGAGGGAGGGGTAGGATGTCAGACATGACGCGAGCGCACCTAGCTTGTCCTCCTCCCCCTCCCCCTCCTCCTCCTCCTCCTCCTCCTCCTCCTCCTCCTCCTCCTCCTCCTCCTCCCCCTCCTCCTCCCCCCTCCCATTCAGGAAGGACACCTTCTCCCTCGGCGTCTGCAACGGCTGCCAGCTCCTGCACCGCCTGCAGTGGGTGCCCTTCGGGCCCGGCGCCGTGCCGGAGGCCGACGCTCCGCGGCTGGCGCACAACGACTCCGCCCGGTTCGAGTCCAGGTACGTCAACCTGCGCGTGGAGAAGTCGAGCAGCATGTGGTTCTCGAAGACGACAGCCGCTGCCCTTTCCTCGTCTCCCCCCTTTCTGGGGCCTCCCAAGAGAGGCCCTCGTCGCCACTGCTGGATTCGCGAAGACGCCATCAGCGTAAACTCTTGGAGCTCCGTGCGGATTTTCTTGAGTCGGCGCCTGGGCCCCCCTGGCGGCACCTGCGGCAGCGCCCCTGGTACGCTCCGCGCGCCAGGGAGGGGGCCCAGCGCCGACCGAAGATCTCCGCGCGGAACGTCGAGCGTTTCATTTCTTGAGAAGAAGGAGGAGGAGGAGGAGGAGGAGGAGGAGGAGGAGGAGGAGGAGGAGGAGGAGGCCCTTTCTTTCCTCAGGTTCGCGGGCATGGAGGGCAGCGTCCTCGGCGTGTGGTCCGCGCACGGCGAGGGGAAGTTCGAGTTCCCGAGCCCCGCGCTCCGGGAACGCGCCGAGAGAGAGGGGCACGTGCCGCTGCGCTTCGTGGACGACCAGGGCAGGAGCACGCAGGCCTTCGAGTAGGGGATCGAGTGCAGGGTTGATCTACCCCAGAGTTTAGTTTTCTCGTCGAAGCCATGGGAAATGCGTAGGACATTTGTAGGTCTACTACGAGCATTCCACGCACTTGTGTTGAAGATTCGACGTGGAAATCAGTTTTGGGGTAAATCAATTCTGTAGTCGATCCCCTACTCGAGGCCTACCCCTACTGCCCCAACGGCTCGCCTGGCGGCATCGCTGGGATGACCACCAGGGACGGCAGGCACCTGGCCCTGATGCCGCACCCGGAGCGCTCGGTGCTGAAGTGGCAGCTGCCCTGGATGCCGAACGAGTGGAGCCGCGAGGGGCCACAGGTCGCACCGTTTTTTTTGTGTTTCCAGCCATGATATTAAATATGTGTATATATGCATGTATGCAGGTATGCATGTATGTATGGATGCATGTATGCATGAGTACATGTGTTTATGTATATGTATGCATGCATGCATGCATGTATGTATGTTTGTATGTATGCATGCATGTATGTATGTATGTATGAATGTATGTATGTGTGTATGTATGTATGTATGTATGCATGTATGTAT